AGAAGGATATACTAGATCATTTTACGTGACTTCCTAGAAAATGTGGCAGATGCTCATGTATGCAGCTGACGTGCTGAATCGCTTGCATTTTTTTCCCCCAACAGGCTGAATGAGACTAAAAATTCATAATTCTGATCTCCTTCTTATAAGGAGGTTTAGTATTCCTGATTTTGGAAAACAGAAATTTCCTTGATAAGTATATCTGTTTAGATAATTAAAACATTTTCTATGTTAATTATTCTTTCCTTTTTGGAGTTTTCTTTCAGAAACATTAGGCAAACTGAAATTTAATACCACTTTCATTAAGGGTTTCCTGAAACAATCTTATTACAGAGTGCAGCCATACCTATGCCAAAATCTGAACAAAACCAGTAGTCTGTGGTATCTGTCAGGCAAGTAAGCCTGGTGACAACTGTTTAACTGAACGTTTGTGGCTTTTACAACTCCAGCCTGGCAACCGTTTTTTGAGTGGCCTTTTTAGAGAGAGCATTCTAATTTTAAACAAATATTCATTAGTACTCCTTTAAATTTATAGGATAGTGATATTATTAGCACTCTCAACATCTTATGTACTTTATCTAAATCTGAAATTTAGATTATCTGCTGCCATTTTCCTGCATTCTGATAAGCAGGAGAGCTAAAAATAGATTATCCTATTTGTTCACATATTCCAGTTCTATAACAACTGCCAAATTATTTTTAGCCTCCACATCCTGGCACATTTAAATCATACTAGTATTTCTGATCTACATGCTTCAATAATCCCATACATCAGTTACCAATTTTTCTTAATATCCCTGAAAGAAATGCATGATAGGTCCCTAGAATCCACTAAATGGAAATCCTATTCTGTTAATAAACACCATCTGTTCCCTTCTTTCCTGCCCCTCCCTCCCATCGCTCATAATGATGAGATCAATCTTGAAATTTTGACAATACCCTCAACCTCGTCCCAAAAACATTTCAGCACAATTAGTGAAATTCTGTAGTGCCTCTTCCATTACAAACATCAAGACTTTTTCATTATTTTTACAAAGTCTAATAATTCAACTTTAAAAATACAAGTAGCAGTACAAAATAGATCAAATGACATTTCATAACACTATAATAAATAATTATGAGCCATCTCCAGGACATTCAGAGTTCTCAGTATAAAACTCATCTATAAATGAAGTTCTATTTCTTTTTTTTTCATGATCAATGGGATAGCACAAAAATATTTATCATATTTACAGTAAAGATTGTCATAAACTCTAGCAGTAAAATTGTTATTGAAGTTGCTTGATTTTAACTATGCCAGCTACCTGTTAACTTGCTATAAAAGGACCCAGTAAGAACAAAAGGAAGCATTGTTCAAAACAGGACTAGGTTCACTGAAGCCCCTTGCTGTGTGGTCTGGGCTGCTCTGTTCCTTTCTCTCCTAGCAGCTGTATTTCCCCTCCCACGCTCACAATGAATAAGCTGCCTTCTGTAGCCCAGTGCAACAGGAAATGGAAAAATGCGTCCAATTCTCCTACTCCACCACCAAAACAATCTTTTCAGAAATAAAATAAAAAAGATAGAGCTACAGTGTGTGTTGACCTAAACAATTAAATGGGGGAGATTAAGTATAACGTTTCTCCGTACGTTAATGCCCATGCACGTTACACAGACCCGGGAAGCTCATAGGAAAAGGCACCAGAAACATTTCTAGAAAATACAGGCAAAGAATCAGCAAACTCCTCATTTGCCCATCCCTCCCCCCAGCCAGTAAAGCTGCAACTAGGCAGAGACTAAAAGATAAACTGCCACTTGCAATTATCTTAGCTTATTTTTTTCTTAAAATTTCTCCTTAATGTTAGCCCATCTTACCATTTTCTATGGTCACTGTGAGCAATATCTTTTTCCTTTTTGTAATGTGCTTCAGTTTTCTCTCATTAAATCTGAGAGTTTTCCAGGGATATTGTGCTATATGGACAGTTTTGTTTCTCAAATATGTTACTTTTCAAATAATATAGGAATGGAAAAGAACAGTATACGCACAATGAAGAAATACCAAAGCTAGTCTAAATATGTCGCATGATATTGAGGAAAGAAAGAAAGGACACAGACTGAGGCTTATGATATTGAAGGTAGGAGGCCTGAGTGGATATTTTTGTGGTCTGCTGTGTACTTAATGCTCCCGGATACAATTGCAGCGGTCCAGGAATGATGGCCCAGCACATTGCTTCCATCTCTGTGTCTATACCCAAGCTAAATCTTGATCAGCCATTATATTCTGTCATTAGTGATAGCATTTTTTATCTTTTCTTATCCATTTTTATTTTCAGAGAACAGAAAATTAATACTTTCCTACATATCATGCTCAAGTAAGCCAATAGTAGATGCATAGTCCCCTTAAATACTGTCAGGTACTCTGGAGCGTCTTGTCAAGTTTCAGTTGAACTGTAAATAGGTCAAAGAGGACAGGAAGCCAGAGAAGGAGATGTCGCTGGGCTTTTTTTTTTTTTTTCCCAAGGTACTGGACAGCAGTGCATATCTACCTATATCCCGGATTTCCAAACATGTCAAAAGAAAATATTTTATATGATCACTCATTATGAAATGTATGTTACTTCCTTCTAAATCTTTTTACAGATGGATCTGTTAACTTTAGATATATGTCTCTGCCGCTCATCCTGACCTCTCATGCTAGTTTCATGATTTTGCTTTACTTCACTGACGGGTTGCTAATCATTTCTGTCTTGGGTTTCAAGCTACAAAACCATAATGAAGCACTTAAGTATGTGGTCTGGTATTTAAGGGCACTGAGTATGCAGATGTTTCATCAAGAAGCTAAACAGGAGCTACTGGGCAATCAGAACTTTTGAAAATTGGGTACTAGGTAGAACCAGATCTGAAAATGTTGATTGCAGGGTTATACACATTCACAAAGAGTACAAGAAAAGAAATGGAGATTGCCCTGATGTGATTATCATTTAAATATAACTATTCTCTCACGTCAAGGAGTGAGACATGAAATGAATGGAACATAATGAGTTTTCATTTCTTTGCTAGCTGAATGTGAGGAAGTGTAGTTTCATAGAAAGTCAGAGGAACACGAACTGAAAGAAAAATTCTCTCACTGAATGAAGCTCCCTAACCTCAGCTCTCAAAGAAGTAGTTCTCTGGCTGTAGGAAGGGAGACTCCAGTGAAGAAAATCTTTGGGATCTTATCTAATTTATTTTGATATTCCTGGTTTTAAAGAATAAAGCTTCAGACTCAAAAAAAGAGATAAGCATCAAACTGAGATTAACAAGTTTATGTTTTGTCCTACAATATTGATTTCTGTGTAAAGGTGAAATTTCCCCACACTAATCAATTATTTAGGACCTAAAGACTATTATCAGCATGCCATTTTAGCCTAGAAAGGAGCTATGTGAGGAGTAAGTCATCTGTGCAGCCAAAGTATACTCCATCTTGCATTTTTGGTTAATCATTCCCTAACATAACCAAAATTTATAGTACAGCTTCTACTAGCATTAGTGATACTAGACCTTCTTGCAAGCAATGTACAAGGACAGTAGATGCTACTGGATATAGTGAATTTGAATTTCTAAATTTATGCCACTAAAGGAATGTCAAAAATCTCTATATATTTTCCTCATACATACAAGAGAAATTTAAATTATATTTTGCATAGTTAATATCTATTTGTGTACATTTGTGTATAATATGTTTTGTAATTGCACTGTTGCTGAACTAAATTACAGAACACTTGAAAACTTAACAGACTGCAAAGTAGCTATAATCCAGCCAAACATTGTTTGTTACACATAGGTTCAATTTCTGTTTTCTGTATTACCATCTTGCCTGTATGCAAGCCAGAAAAGAGAATGTGTGTAATTACCTTGTTTATTTTCTATAATAACTCAAAGGACAAGAAAGGCTCGAAAATTCTTTTGTGTTTTTCATGTCATGTTTTGACATAAAATAAGAAGTACAGAAGGGAATTTCTAAGTTAATTAGCTCTCTAATGCATTATATCAGACAGGTTAGCAATGTCTTTGGCTGAAAGCATTTTACTTTAGAATCAGTTTTCAACGCTCTATATTTCTACAGCACCCCTTTGCACACACCACTCATTTTCAGGTAGCTTCCCGGCCACCAAAGGGTGACACAGCTATGACATTCTCAGAGACTAGATCACTGCTGCTGGTGGGCCTGAGCAGGTTGCAGCAATGGCCTCAGAGCTTCTTCGGACAACTTGCTGACAGATACACTTATTGGAAGCAGGATGGTCAAATGTGTCTTTACGTCAATCCAAAAAAAAAAAAAAAAGAGAGGGAAAAGTAACACTGTTTGTTTCTATCCTATAGACACACGTAAGAGTTTATAGTCCCTCTGCCAAGAAATTGATGGTAAAAAGTGCATGGTCACATACTCTAAGTCTTCAAACATGGTTAAAGTGGGCTTGATCATAAAAGGGGTCCTTCCTGGAACATACAAGCAATATTATGAACCTCCAGATTTCAGAAATATATGTGCCAGTTCATTTACTTCAGTGTCTACTGGAATGCTGTAGACAATTTTGAAACTACAATAGGGAGGTAGCTTTACGGCAGTTCAGAGACTAGAGCCACCATTACTCCTATAAAAACTGGAAGAAAAAAGCTGACCTAGAGGTCCAGAAAACTTACAGATACAAATTGGACTACGTACTGAAATCTGTAGTAGCTAATAATTTATTGGTATTAATTTGAAACAGCATACCTTAGAAGCACTAGAAAGATGAGGGTTTTTTTCAGAATTCATAGAATTTTGCATTATCAAAGTATAAATCACAAAACATTTGTTTCTAGATGGGGCTATAGTGTTTTGCATTTTTCATTTCAGATGAGAGAGTCCATGCATCTGAAAGACCGCATAAAAAGCAAGCATTTTAACTTGTATAAGATTCTAAATATTTCTGCACAGCGAGGACATTCACTCTTATTATGCATAGAAAAAAATTCAAATTCTTTTATTATGTGTTTCTTACCTTCATAGTAAACTTTAAACCCGTGAGCACTGACTGCAAAGTCACTTGTCAAACGCAATGAAAATACAGACTTTGTACTTGTCACAGGTGGTGGAAGATGAAATCCAGTTAACCTAAAAACAAAAAAAAAACCACAATTCACGGTTAATTGTCTGAAAAATAAAACTATCTGTTACAGGTTACTGTTCTAAACAGTATTTTATCATGAATAGGGCAACTGACTTAAAAGTATATAGTGTATAGTACTTGAGAAAAAAATTTTTATAAGCTATCTTAAAGAATCAATCCAAAATGTTACTGCCTGTCATGGACACTCAATCAGGTAAGGTACATTGGCTGGAGAAAACTATATCTGAATAAATAGTAATACAGTAAATTGACAGTAAATTATTTAAACTGAGCCTTAAAAATGATCTAGATTATCAGTGAACGAAAAAAAATGTCAATTTACACTACTTATGTTCAAATATCTTTTTTCCTGGTATACATTGTAGAGATTTTTATTAAAATTTATAGCAGATGAATTTTATACAGCAATATGATGAGAGAAAGGGGACCATGGTTCACTTCAACAAGGGGATCTAAGATTAGTTAAACTATGTATTATAGCCTCAGAGAAGAGATTTCTGTTTTTAACTCACAGAGAAATCCCAAAGAGCATTGTTGTATAATCAAACATCCATGAAGAAAGCTCTCTTGAAAGGAATTACAGTGTTGCTAGGGGGTTGAGGTTTTGTTGCTGTTGTTTGTTTTTGCTTTTTACTAAAAACAGTATATTTGAGACGTAATGTAAGGACAATTTTGTATGCTTATAGCACTACTGATATGATACTCAGCTTACATATTCTTTACATTTGACTTACATACGGCAACACTTATATTCTCTAAATGACTGTGGTAAGATCTTCTAGGAGAATAACCTCATGAAGGGTCATACCATACCAACAAAATCTCTACCATTCACCAGTCAAAAATACTGTTTTCATGGGTGCATGTTGTGACAGTTAAAGTGTTTCACTTAGAGGCCATTCTTGTCTGTTAGACAAAAATATAATGGTTTCTTCTGTGTAGCACTCTACCTATAGTGCACCCTTGAAAAAACCCAAATACCACTGCCACCTTCACCTGATGCATCACTTGCAGCCTTGCTATGTTCTAAAAAAACATGTCAAAAATGGTCTCTAGATTGCTCCTTATGTCTCTTACAGTTCTGATTGAAAGGTGGAATTGATCAGCATGATGTAGTCCAAACTATCCAAGAGGTTTCTTGCTCTGAATTCACTTCTACGATGGATAAGGTCAGACATACACCTTCACTAGACGTACACGAATGCCTTTGAGCAGCTTGCAAAACATTGTTTCAGAGTTTAACAGTGGAGAACATTCACAATTCTAAGAAAACTACTAACAATAGGTATGTAAACGCCATTTATTTATAAGTGTAGCTATATATCAAAGTGTGTTAATCATTTATATTGCTAATGTTTAATATTTAATAGTTTTCATCTGTTTGTAGTTGAGCCATATTTTTGTTCAATACTTTGAATTTAGAATCATAGAAAAATTTAGGGTAAAAGCGACCTGTGGAGGCCAACTAGTCCAGCCCCCTGCTCGAAGTAGGCCTAACTTCAGACTTAGTGCAGGTTGCTGAAGATTTACTTTCTCCCTTTTCATTATTTGTATAAATTTCCCATTTCCTTTCTTTATGTGTACACATATGATTGTGTTTTGATTTGCTATTAAACATAGATTATAAAATTTAGTGCACATGTACACATAATCCCCAAATGTCCTCACTACTCTGTTAAACATTCACTGTAAAACAGTAATATAATAAGTAGAATTCACAAAGATATGTGATTTTTTAATTTTGCTTTGATATAAGTAGTACAATCACCAATTTTTTTTAGTGATTCTTCAATAAATTTACATTACTGTTTGTACAGAAATTCAGTTTCAGTCTTGTTCAGAAATTACTGACATGTTAAGTCCTGTCATTATCAAGATTTCTAGTCTCACCTGAGACTAGAAAAGTCATGAGAAGTCCAGAATTCTAAAGGTCAGGATATGATTTCCTGAAAATTTATTCCAAAATAAACACGGATTATTAGCAATGTGATTTATTTTTAGTGTTAAGATACCTCTAGATGCATTCTATACAGTGCTTCAGGAATTTATCTTGAGACGCATTTGCAGTGGACCGCATACAAAGTTTTAGATCGTTCTCTTATGACTATCTACTCTACTTTCTTCATAGATACTTTAATTTAATGGGAGATGTATTGTTATTTTTCATTAAGCAATCATGTGGCAAAAAATCACGTCTCTTTTCCTCCAGGGAGTACTTATTCTTTAATATTCCTGTGCTATTATTGAAACCATTGTTAAAATATGTTACCATAGCAAAGAAAAGTACATCATTTTTTGTGACAATCATAACAGGTATGAAAGCCAAGTGATACAGTAATATTAGTCACAATATAATGACCAAAAAATTAAAAAAATAAACAAAAATAGAAAAATGTGAACAAAAGTAGCAATGTTACTTCAAGGGATATAGATAACTATAATATATATATATATATGCATCTAGTGATCCGTGTAGGTATCCAAAACCCCATCCCTTGTTTTGTTGTTTGCATGTAATCAAAAATGTCATATTGACAAGACTTGATTAAATAATTTATACACAAAGATGAAGAATTATTTGCAGAATATTTAGGGTTTAGTAAATGATTTTTTTTTTCCTTTGGCTGCAAGAATATATTTTTGTTCAAAAAAAAATTAAATTAATAAAACGCTTACCTCTCCCAAATAGGCATATACACGCTTCTTTGACAAGTCAATATCAGTGCACTTTTCCAGTTAACTTATTCATAAATCAATAAATACCTTAATTTATTGCTGAGTATCACCACTTGAAGGTAAGCTGACCTAACATAAAACTAAGTCAATAATTCAAATGAAATTTTAATTTGCACACTGCAGATTCAGCTAGTATCTGTTTACCTACTCAATGGTTTCACATAATTATGTGTATAAACACATATACAGGAAAAAAATCAGAGTATTTGTTCCAAATTATTTAACTTTATGAGGGGAATTTTTAAAATGAAAATATTTTTCCAGAGTGGCTTGCATTTCAGTCCCTTGTGCAAAGCAGATCATGATTAGAGCTGTTTGATACCATCTAACTTTCAGCAGTATGCCTTTTATCATTACCAGCACGCTGCATCTACTCAGAAAGGTGCAGCTTGTTCCTTTAGTTTGCTTACTAAGCCTAAAATCATATGAAAACATTATTTTTGTATTTGTGATTTAACGGATGCAAAATTGATGATAACTCCTAATAAATAACAGTGTGACAGTATTCTTCTATAACAACACTTGGTAAACTATTTTGAGATTTCAGAGGGGAATGTAGCATAATTTGCTCAGACAAAAGAAGTAACCTCTTAAGGTGACAACTTGAATACTATTCATTGTGTACTACAGTGTAGTGATGTCAATTAGGGCTTTAAGCCTCATTTGTATATAAAACACTACAAAAAGTCATAAATGTTAGCTAGAATAGCTTTCTTTGCTATTGAAAATGAAACACAGCAAGTACATAATAACTGAATGAGAGAGATGTCACTTTAGCAGCAAAATGCTTGTAAGATCTCCCATAATGTGCATAGGTCTGATTGTCACTTATTCAGCCCAGTCACTACTAAATGGCTAACTTAAAGAGAGTACACTGGTAAAAGTAAATCTCGAGGTGGGGCACCTTTGCAAAATAAGCAGTTGTCCCCTCAAGCCAGCATGAGCTGCATATTAAACACTTAAAATTTGTATTTCCCTGTAGTAGCCGAGCAATTTTCTCTCTTACATTCCATTAGCATCAACTTTTTTTTTTCAATTTTGAGTACCTAATGGAGTGATTCAAGTGTCTGTCTACTGCCAGTTTGTGTACCCTAAGGTATCGGAGACATCTGCGCAGAGCTGGTAGATGTGACGTTGGACCTACAGAAGACTCACGCTGAGAGAGCCGGAGGCAGGCAGAATACCTTAGGGACTCTGAAAGTGCCCTACATGTTATGTTAGGTACTTAAATGTCTCCTTAGCATTCTACCACTTTTGCATAAGAAATTCATACTGGGACAAATTGGCAATTTATTTTTTAATTTGTTTGGGACTATCATTCATCCAATCCTTATCCTCTTTTGCTTTTTGCTTTTGGGATTGGTTCATTTAATTTTCCCTCAAATACATAAAGAGGTCCCGTAATCAACTAGTACTGTGCAAGAAGTCATAGAAACTAAAAGTTAATGACTACGAAAGTCTGAGAAGGAAATATACTTATTTCTGACTCAGTTCTAAAAAAAGTCAGATTTTGAGCTGTACTTAATTCTAATCCTTAATGACAGTCTTTCAGTTAAGATGCTGAAATTAGCTGGAGTGTTATCCTACATATAACAGGGGTGCAAGTTTGCAAATGCATGGGCTGCAAATTCATGCATAATAGCATAGACATTTGGTTTTTTCCTGCTGGGGCCTTGTCAGCTTGTTTGACACCTCATGCCCTTGGGAAATATACACACTATGTGGCCACCTAGCAGACTTTGGAGTTGCAGACATTAAATATGAAATTAGCTAGGTGGATACCCAAAGACACGGGTCTATTCTGGGAATATAAGGAAAGACAGAGAGATAGTTTTATTCATTTAACTCTTCTACATTATAAAGATTAGACATTCTTCCAGAGAAACTTATTGTCTATAGAAATTCTGAAACTTCAGTCATATGCCTGGTGAAATTAAAGATGGCATATCACGTGAAGAAATGATATCCACTTAGAGCATACATATTGCTTGCTTACAAAGAAATGATGCTTTGTAAAGCACAGTTTCAGTAGAAATGTGAATCTGGCAATGTTTTTGTAACCACTTCTCCATATAAGAAGGAACATTGACTAGAAACAGTAGATAATTGAGTACCAAAGAAAAGAAAGAACATACAAAGGAGATGGTTAGAAAAACATAAATATCCTTCAGCAAGCTCTCCAAGACTGAGGAGAAAGAAACCTCTGTCATCATCATAATCATTCTCTTTTGCAGAGGACCAACCCTGC